ATGGTTTGCAGGGTCCTGTCAATGTTCGAAGCAGGGTAGTCAGTTAAAGATGTCAACCAAAAGAAAAGGTCCTAGACATGGACGATAGTTTCTTGATTGGAACTCTAAGGCTCTTTTTACTTAACTTAATATTTTTATTTACTTGCAAGCGGGACAACAGAAAGAACATGAGAATCTCTCTACATGGATACCTTAGCATGGGTGACAGTTGAGTTTACAACCACCGCTGCAGCCAATACATTGTCCGAGAATAATGCATAATGGTACATCCGCGGATCTTCTAATTTCTCTTGATTGGGAAACTTCTGCTGAGAAGAATTTAAGGCATAGTATTCAGTGGTAAGGCGCAACGGAAGACAGTGAAGTCCCTTTGGAAGTGTTTTTGCTGTTAGTTGCGTCAAGAACATAGCCTGCTTCTTGTGCACCCGGAGTTGCTCTTCCATTGAATGGAGCATAGCCCGAAGCTTTTTCACCATAGCAGCGCAGTCGTCTTGAATCTGCTTTCCTTTAGTCAATGTCTGTTCCATTGCCTTCAACTTATCGTAGGCGCTGTATTAGTAGCAATAATTGTTACGGATAAATTAAACAAAACAAGAAAAGGGAGTTTTAGGTGGAAGTAGAAATATAAAAAGATAAAATGTTACATTTTAAACAGGGAACTAATAAGGATATCAACAACATATTCATGTAAACAAAGGAACAAAAGACTTGGGTCAGCTAGCAGTGCTAATTTCTTTAAAAAGAAAACATACTTCCTTGGGAGGTCAGAATCCTTGCTTGCATCCCCAAGAGCTTTTTGAACTTCTTTTATCCGCAGCCGAATCTCCCTTGTGAAATGGGGGTTGTTTCTTGTGGCTGGAAGAGATAGGTAAACCTTTGCCCTGATAAGCTGGTCTCTAAGATGTCGTACCCGGACATCTGGAATAGCCGTTTCATTATTTTGTTTCGCAGTCATAGTTTTTGTGGGTCTTCTTCGATCAACCTTGCTGGAGTTTTGAGTGGATTGTTGTTCTGGTTTTGTTCCCTGAAAGAAGAAGCAGAGACAGAAAGAAGAGAGAAACAGGAAGCATGAATCAATATATTATCTAATTCCAAGTACAAAGGAAATTCAAAAACGAGTTGGGACAAGAAATGGATTCTATTTGTTGCATAAAACATTCACATTTGGCAATTAGAAGTTTGAAAAAGGACAATCATTTCTAAATAGTGAGCCAGGAATAGCATTGGTCTAAAGGGAAATGGAAGAATCGATACCCTTGTCCGAGAGGCATCATCAACATTTTGCTCAAGAACTCCTATTTTGGCATCCAACTCGGACAGAAACTGATTTCCTTGCTCAAGCGTTTGAGTGACCTGTCTGATGGGGTTATCTGTTTGAGACAGATCTGGGTCAGCGGTGGTTGATAACACTCTAGCTGATACATGCTCCGTTGAGTCGACTGACTGCCCATCTAAGAAGAAGTAAATGGAGATCCTCTAATTATAAAGAAGAAATCACAGAAATTAAAAAAGGGGAAGGCAGGCAGGCAGGCACTCGGTTGAGGAGTAAAATAAACGATGATAACCTTGATGTTGAAGAGAGTGATTGGGGTGGGCGGAGGTCCCCTTTGTCTCTGGTAATGAATCAGTGGAGTCGTTGGAATATACGACTCCTACTGGTTCTTTAAGCCTTGTGGTTGTGGATGATTCCTATGCACAAGAAACAAAAAGCATAAATAAAGATCTGAAAGTTGAGTCCTTCATACATGGAAAATTTTCTTTCGCGCGCGCTCACGTCCCAATTGTGTGAATGTGTGTGGTGCTAGAAAAGGAAGAAGGGAAAGTAATTAGAGATAAACCTGAGGAAGCAGATTCAGACGGGCAGTAGTACGAGCAGAATTTGCAGGCTGTGAAGAAATTTAAAAAATTCGAAGACATTAACACAACCAACGAGAAAGAGGTCATTGAGATCGAAAAGAAATAGGGAACAACTTACAAAGGCTGTAACATCTTCAAAGAAGTCGTCGTCTCCAGCTGCAGAGAAAAGAAAAGGAGCAGCACATGGATTTAGGGATTAGGATTAGAAGAAGAAGAAGAAGAAGAAGAAGTTGCTAGATGACAGACTTACAGGAGGAGGAGGAGGACGAGGAGGAAGAGGCCTGGATGGAGATGGAGGCAAGGCGATCAGTGTAAAGAATAATGGGAGCAATCACCGTTACAAACAACATGACCATCACCACATTCCTAACCATCATCTTTTCTAAAAAAAAAGAAAAGAAATGGAAGTCACCGACACGACACCCAGAGGCACTCGCTTTTGGGGAGATTTCTGGGGCAAACAGCCGCCGCAGATCTTCTTAATGCAGAGGTAGTGGTGGTTTCTCCTACTCCTCCGGTGGGTGTTGAATGATCGATTTGGTGATCCTTCCTTCGACTTCGATCTCTCTCTCTCTCCCTCAAAAGGTAAAGTAAGGGTAATGGAATAAAATAAAATAAAATGACTTTTAAGTGGTCGTCGTCTTAAGTTCTAACACAAACAAATAATTGCGTTGCGTGGATTGGTATATTACAAGCAGCGAGTAAAATGATAAACGGACGGGCAGTCGTCTAAGTTCTAGCTACAAGCTACAACAACAACGAAATTGGAAAGATATGAAAAGAGCAGTGCAAACAGAGACAGCAGAGAGACGAACAAAGTCGGCGGGTGCTTGATAAATAAAAATAAAAATAATAATAATAATCTGATGGATGGATGGATGAATATGAGTGATCCACACAAGCACACTTATGACAAATATAAAATAAATACCGCTTCGTTTTGTAATATTACACATTGACCATGAGATTTTGTACGCTTTTGCGTTTTGGGCCAAACTAGCTTTAGCTAATGGAGAACAAAAAGAAAAACAAAGGATAATCCCCGCGCACGAGCAGGCCGCGTCAACAAGTGAGGGATTGCCACGTACGTCAACACCATGACACCCGTGATTGAAGCTGGACGCTGTTTTTCAACTGTTCTAAAAAATCACCGCCTAGCGTCGTCTAGGTCCCGTCTAGGCGTTAAACGGTTGGTTATTGTCCCAATTAATACTTAGATATTTAAAAATTAACAAATGACGCCTAAACCTGCTGAGGCGCCCGTCTAGACCGTCTAGATAAGTGCCAAGCCCGTCCTGACCTGCCTAGGCATTAGCCTAGGTTGCGACTCAATTAAATAGAAAATAGATAACTTTCATTTTACATTTTATTTGTTTTAATAAATTGTAAGAGACTTGTTGAATACTTAAATGAACACACATTATATGCTTGTTACCTATGTTTTCAATATGTTCTAATACTTCATAATATATATATCGTTCCATTTTGTAGATTATGATGAAATTACATATATTTTAAGTATAAAAGACACTTATTTACAAGAAATATAGTAGATTTATTTAAATTCGCCTAGTCTGCCTAGACGCTTGCTTAGACCCCGCCTAACCGTCTAAGCGATAGGCCCCAACCCGCTATCCGATTAGTGTCTAGTATCTTTTAGAACCCTGCTTTTTTCTGCTTGCTTCATTCAATTTGCAAAGGAAATGAGATTATCACAACAAATTCCCAAATTCAAAATCACATCGAAATGGCTCCATTTCAATTCGAAATGCATGCATACATATATATTATTTATTATTTATTAGGGTATACTATCCTCACATCTTTTTTAACTTCATACATACCCTCTTAATTTGCAGTTGTTGGATCGACTGAAATTAAAAAGATCAAATGATAGAAATTAACAAGAGATGTGTGGATAGCACATCCCTATTTATTATTGATATGTATATATAGACTATTAAGCATGTCAACGTAGATACATTTTGTATTAGTGTTATATTCATAGAGAATTGTTATTGGCACTCTACAAATTTCATTTTGCACTCTAAACTTTTTATAATTAGAAAGAAAAGTACATTGTGAGAAGTGCAGAACGAGATTTTTTTAGTACTAATAAACAGTTCCTATTCGTAAACATATATTAACTACCCACATTATGTAAACTATTCTTTACATAATAGATACATTATTAGACTAATAAAATTACAGTATTAATCTCCCCGGCCAAAGACATGAGGACTAGAAGGAATTTTTAACTATGTTTAGGACACGGGACATAACAATAACGACATTATACAATTAGATAAACAAAATTCAATTGTCCTTACAATTATTCAATAATACGTAGCGTCCCTTCTCATATTCCAAACGCACTGAGAAGTCTTGCGAGAACTAGAGTTGTCCTGAGAGAGGATCCTCGCCGGATCCTCTACATTATGCTGCCAATTTTTGTCAAGTACTGTTTATATTCAATTTTAAATAAAAAAATTTATAATAATTTCTGACCGCATGATATACGATAAACGAATGTAATTGAAAGATCCTTAAAATCCTCACAAAGAGAATTCAATCAGGATCCTACTAGAATCGCCCTTGGAGTGTCGGCACAACTAACACTACACTACTCATCAGTAGCTGCTGGTGCTGGGCCATTCCCTCCCTTGCTCCTTCTTAATAAAACTAGTCTAATTACTATTTTGCAAAGGAGATCTCACACAGACCCACGCATCTTGTATAATAATATTATTTTTCTTATCTTCAAACACCCCCAATCACTACAAAAAGTATAGGCAATGCACATAATAAATTATATGTGCATTTTGAGGTAAAAGAGAACCAACATATGTGCCTATAGATCAATAGCAACAATACATCAACTAAAATGGCATATGTGCCCTCTATTGTTGTGTCCTTTGGTCATAGGGCACAATGGTGTTTTGTGCTCCAAGGGGTAAGCACAAATAAAGGCCTTTTTGTACCTATGTTCTGACAAACTTGTCAGATGATCTTCTCCATCCATGTTTGCACAATTTTTGTTATTGTGCCCAATAAGTTCTATTAAAAAAAAAATAGAAATGTAAAATTTTTGAAATAAAACAAAAAATTAAAATCTTTATAAAATCAAAGATGACAGTCTCGGCTATAAAAAACAATCCAATAGTAGAAATGAAATGTCTACAATAAAACTACAGAAATATTCCTCATAAAGAACATATTTACAATCGTTCAAGATACAAGACCAACAAAATAATGAGATTTTCCTATCAATGTATCAATGCATTCCTACATATAGCAGCCCATAACTGATTGTACTCTTTTTCCTAGCTCGGTGGATTATGCAATCACCTTTGGGAAGTCCAAACCAAAGGAAAAATGAAAAAGGGGAAAGGATCACATATTTTCAGTGAAGTTTAACCACCTAAACATTCAATTAACATTGAGAATTCATTAGCTTCATGTATATCTGATAACAATAAGAGTTTCGTTTTCTCCGACAAAAAGAGTAACCATTTTTCTATTAGTACAACTAAATGTCCAATGTACCTTAACAAGACAAGGAAGCAAATCTATATCGACACAGGGAACCATAATCGTAGATGTTCATCCTCTTCTTGGAAAAGAAAGAAATTTAGTAAATATAAGTTTCTTAAAAAAAAAAAAAAATTATTTTATGTATAATAAGAGCAAAACATTAATAGGACCTCTAATAGTGTTGTATATATATATTTCAAGCAAATATAAAACCAAACTTATCAATGGTACATTAACCACTTACAAAGATGAGAAATAGCACGAAGGTAAAGTACACCTCTACAACATAATATTTTCCCATCAATCCTGTAAAAAAATATGTATAATCCCAAACGAAACATTATATATAAATAACAAGTCATAAACAAGTGATAAATTGAAAAACTTGTGTAATAACAGAAGCAAAATTCTCATCAAATGGATAAAGGCAGGGGCCATGTCTTTCTGATCCAATGGATAAACTCGAGCAAACTGGAAAACAACAAATCAAATGTGTGATGTTTGAATCAACAAATGCCTCTACGAAACTGCGATTTACTACTTCTAAATCTACTACAAATTTGTACTTCTAAATCACAGTATCAATTAGTAAGGCACATGAAAATACAGGGCATACAGATAATCAATTTTTGGGGGAATCACGTGAGTCACAAAATTGAAACACAAAGATGGTTTTTGTTTTTTTTATTTTTATTTTTATTTTTATTTAGTGCAGGGAGCCAGTTTTATACCTTTAGAACCTCGTGTTCAACATACAGTCAAAATCTTTGATAAGTACACAATATCAAGAAACGGGTAGGAGTTTTACTTTAGTCTCTCAGGATTCAGGGACTATGAGAGCTTCGCCTTGCTTCAGACCGTCTGATCTGCCTTAGGACGTCTTGTCTCACTTAGATCTGAGAACTGATGGTGTTTCTGTCCATCATCTTTCTCGGATTCGCTATGGATCCATAGAACCTGCACAAAGAGCAAGCATGCTTGAGGTTTTCGCAATTTTGACCTTCAAGACAGCTACTGGACAAGAAAAATGTAGAAGAATGAAGGCCGTTTACCTTTTCATTTCATAAACTACAGGACGATTGTGGTTAGAATCTCTGATTTCTGAGATTCAGTTTGCTTAGACGATGACGGCGGTCCGGTTTGGTGTATGTGACGTCTATGGCTTCGAAGATTCTGGGTTTGATTTCTCAAGCTCGAATTTGGAAGTCTCTGGGTTTTAATTTCCCAGATCCAAGGTGTGGGGGTTGCAGGTTTGGTGTAGGTGGGTTCTGGTTTCGAATCTGAGCTCGCAGAGCGACGGATATGTGGAGAAATAGGTGCATTTTCTTACATTTTGTTTCCTTGGAAGAGTGAAGAAAACAAAAACATTGTCTTTTATTGAACATACATTTATTACATAATATATATAACCCAAGCCAACACAAAGGAATGTTGAAAATAAATCAGAATATGATGATGGTTTCCAAATTTTAAAAAAATGTAGTTTAAAAACTTGAAAGTTTCCATTTTTATTATTCCCAATTGGTCTGGATACGTACTATGAATTGGACAAATAATTACAACCAGGAAAAGGAAAGAAGAAAGGAGATGAAGACTGGAAGAGAATGAACATCAGAAGAGACGGTTACATTGCCGCTGCCATTGCCAGCAGCACTGAATAATAATCAAGCCCCATCAGGGCCTCTGGCGCAACACATGACATGACATCACCCTCCCTGGCTTGTTAGTCGTTGGCCTCTTAGATACTCAACTAGTTTCTGCAGTGACAATTGATCAATTGAAACTTAATTAGTTGGGTTGTTGAAGAGGCTGCTTGAGCAGGGAACTCCAAATGCAATCTTCCCCGGCCTCAGTCTTTGACCCATCATCTTGATTAAGATCTCGAGGTCGCCACAAATCTATCTCAAGCTTGTCCTTTGGAAAGTCCAGGAGTAGGGTATCAGGATGATCAGTCTGATCATGATAGAAGCACTGCTCGGAGAAAGAAGATTGATCATCCAGTACTGCCAGTGGTGATGAAAAATTACCATGTCCAGGAGTAGTACTACTGGTGGTCAAGGTGGATGTGTCGACATCCAGTACTGCCAGTGGTGATGAAAATGCGTCTTCAAAATTCAAGTCCTCTGGTTTGGATATTACACCATCCTTCAGCCACGGAAAATCAAATACTCCTAGTGCCAAGTTGGAATCCGAATCTGATGTCTTATAACTGCTACTATTACCACTAGTGCTGCCGCTGCTGTTGTATTCAAGGTTGTTTTTGAAGTCCAAAATACCACAGTTAGGATCTACTAAATTTGTCTTCGCATGCTTCTCTGAAAAAGAATAACAAGAAGAAGAAGAAGAAGAATCGTTGTGGTCTTCATCTCCTTCTCTTACTCTCTTTTTGCTGTCACGCTCCATGGTTTTTTTCACAAAACCTCACTGCTAACGAAAAATTACCTATATATATATATCAATATCAGAAATATAGAGGATTATTAATACAATGAAACAAACTCATGGCAGAGCAAACAAGTGCAATGCTCCTCTTCTGATCTGATTTTCGGGTATAATTATTACACAATACGTATGAAAGTACTCACCAAAAGATCACGGCTAACAATGTTAGTACTAATGATACAAATGGGAATTTTTTACACACAACTTAAAGCTTAAAGTTGATTCATGAGCAAGGACACATGCTAATTAAAATCATGTGGTGAGCTAGCTAGGCTATACATCAAATTATTAGCTAGATGCTTAATTTAAAAGTGGCAATGGCAACATACGTTTGCATAATGAAATTTTGAGAATAAATAAAACGATGCATGAGTTGAATGGCGGATAAAGATGAACCTTAAAATTGTGACCTTGATTCAAAGATTAAATTGAAGTGGTATTATAAAAAAGAGCGAGAAGGTCTGATTTGATGGTAATGCTGAAACTTTGTATATCAAATCTATCTTACGATTATGAGTGTCATGCAACTGCTAGCGCTATTTAATGAAAATTTTCATCCATTACATACCTGTACTTGTATTGGGCTAGGCTGAGGTTGTATATCTGGAGTTGTTGTTCAATACATATAATTTTTGCTGAAGAAGAATGATGATTACAAACGAGTTTTGCTCACACGCTTACGCGATTTTAAGCTAAACCGTCTCTAACCACACACACTATTCCATTACGCTTTTACCCACCCATATCTCTCTTTCTCTCTCCTTTGCAAGAATGAATGAAACGAAACAGATGGGTTGTGTTAGTTCCTCTTTTTGCGTTTCTTTCTTTTCTTTCTTGCCTCTCTATTTTTTCAGTTTCCAAGTTTCCAAATACCACTGGCAAAGGCATCAGCAAATCCCATTTTTTCTCCTTTGCTTTTTTCTCTTCTTTTTTGTATCCACTAGTTTTGCCACGTCATAAACCCAAAGCAACGTAAGTTTCTTACATTTTCTAGCAATCATGATTTTTTGAACTTAGGATATAATTTGGATCGTTAACAGGGCTCCTCGCAGGTTGTTGCCCTTCACAACTAACTATATGCGAACATCATTAGACTGTAGAACTAAATAAATATACATGAGAGACTTACAGAGTCATATTTGGATTCGAACAAAAGATTGGCGTTAAAAAGTTTTGGTACATTGGAGATGGTATGAAGGAGGAATATTGAGGGTAACCTATGTGACGAGATGGGCTGGAAGAAATGGGCCAGAAAATGGGGGAAGGCCCAAATGGGAAAGAATAATTGGGGTTGGGTAGTGATGTTGGTGGAGGAGGAACTGACAGCAAGGAAGGAGAGCGGTAGCATAGAAGAGAAGACGCTTTGCTTCGCTGTAAACTGTTATTGCTTTTGATTTGGTTTGACCTCTCTCTCGCTCGCTCTCTCTCTCCTGTTTTGTTTCGGTGGTTTTCTTTTCTTCCCCCACCCCCACTCGGGCCACTCCCTTTTCCTTGTGAATTCCTTTCCGTGTACAAATTAATTTACAAGTTTCTATAAAATAAACAACACAGACAGACATTAGTTTTGGAATTAGAATTCAATTTGCGATCAAACTTGTTGTTTGTGTGTGTTTGTTGATAAGACAGGCAGAGAATGTCTTACGCTTATTTGTTCAAGTACATCATCATCGGCGATACTGGTACTCCTCCATAAAAAATAATCTTATTTCTTTGATTTGATTTGATTTGTGCATCAATCCAATTTAATTTAATTGTTCTTCTGTCGGTTTTGATGAATTTCGATTTGGTATTTTCATAAGTGATTTGTTGTTGTGTTGCAGGAGTTGGAAAATCATGCCTTCTTCTTCAGTTCACCGACAAGAGGTTTCAGCCAGTGCACGATTTAACTATTGGCGTTGAGTTTGGAGCCAGGATGATCACCATCGACAACAAACCTATCAAGCTCCAAATCTGGGACACGGTTTCTTTCTTTCTTTCTTTTTCTTACGAATTCATTCATTGTTTCATTTTAATTCATTTTTTTATGGAATTAACGTAATAATTCAGTTCAATTCAATTGCAAGCTTTTCGATTTACGATTTTCCTTGCATGTGAATAAATATGCAATATATTTGTATATATGTTTTAGGCTGGCCAAGAGTCTTTCAGATCCATTACCCGGTCCTACTATAGAGGGGCTGCTGGTGCCTTGCTTGTCTATGACATCACCAGGTATTCTTTCAATTCTAATCTCATTCTCAACATAATAATTTTGTATTCTTTGTTGCACTTTCGCCATGCGGCATCTCTTACTTTGGACGATGGACTATGGACTATGGACACCACTTTGTCATATTCAATTTTGCTTTTTGGTTTTTCGAGGAAGATATAACCCCGTCTGCTTTGATTCACTATGAGTTTCTCAGAGTGTTTTTTTCAAATTAAATTGTTTTTGGAGAAGGTATTTCCATCACTATTCACAAGGAAAATCATATCTCGTGCTTGTTTAATCCAGTTTGGTTAGGCGTAAAAACGCTCTTGCTGTTTTTCCTATTGCATTAGAAAAGTAAAAGCTCAGGCGAGATCCCAGTAATCTACTGGATTCATATGCTAGTGTAGATAATGAGCATTAAGCACTTACTATGCATGTTAAGGCACTGGCAATGACAATAATTCCTTCTTTTACTCTTAGGAGGGAAACTTTTAATCACTTGGCTAGCTGGTTGGAGGACGCGAGGCAACATGCAAATGCAAACATGACAATTATGCTCATTGGTAATAAGTGTGATCTAGCTCACAGACGGGCTGTGAGCACAGAGGAAGGGGAGCAATTTGCAAAGGAGCATGGCTTGATCTTCATGGAGGCCTCTGCTAAGACTGCTCAGAATGTTGAGGAGGTGACAAAAGATTGGCTTTTTGATGGACATTGTTTTTTTAAGGAAACCTTTGATATCTTCATCATGTTTATTTTTTTTCTTGCCTTTATTGGTAACAGTTACGTTTTCCATTCAGGCATTTATAAAAACTGCTGCAACCATATACAAAAAGATTCAAGATGGAGTGTTTGATGTATCAAATGAGGTTAGCTTTGTCTCTTTATGAAATATTCCTTACATGTCCTCCTTATCTTTTACTTGATATTTATTAAGGGTAAATTACAATTTGCAACCTCAAATTTGGGTGCAATTGCAACCCCATACATCATCTTTAGAACATTGCAATGTCATACACAAACTTGTATTTTAGTTGTAATTTCATACATCTGTTAGCCTTTTTTTAAAAAAATGTAGAAGAGGTTTGTGGTATGGGTTTGTAGTTGCACCCAAATTTGGGAGTGCAAAATGTAATTTACCCTTTCTTTTTTAAATATGTAGAAGATTTTTGTGGTTTACTTATGTTCTCATTAGTGCTTTCTGTTTGGGAGGGATGATAAAAGTGTACTTTTGATATGGCAGAGTGCTTTGTGAATGCCAAGTGGAATGATTGACTGTATGGTTTCATGGAGCCATTATATGAATGCCTTTTCTATTGGTTGGTTGCATAATAATTTTCCTCTGATTGCAAATTACGGTTGCTTAGATTTCTAGTTGCCTGAGAATGTGATGGGTAAGCTCACATTTGAAATATATAAAGACGAGGCTGAGTCTCAGCTCATGCTCATTGTATTGACTCTGAAAAAATGATAGCCCGATAGATAGTAACTACCAAATGAACAAAAACCCTTCTTGTGAATGCTGAGAGACAAATTGAACACTTTGTGATATTGAATGAAAGAGAGCTGTGTATGAGCTTATTCCCGATTCCTGGTCTTGTTTGCAGTCTTATGGCATAAAAGTTGGATATGGTGGAATTCCGGGACCATCAGGAGGTAGAGATGGCGCTTCATCTCAAGCTGGAGGCTGTTGTAGTTGAAGTTTGATCTTATTTGCCATGTTGAAAGCAGTTTATCAGGCGTCGTTTACATTCTTGATTTTTATTTTTATTTTGTGTGGTTAAATATGAAGATTATGGATCCTTTCTTTGTATAAACGTCTTAAAATTGAAATACATGTATAATTCCTCGTCATGTTCTAATTTGATTGTAAATTAGTCATTTAAAGTTAGCTTGTTGATTGAAACTGCAAATTGTGAATAGACTGTTACTCGACGTTATTTATTGGTGTTGATCTTGGCGTTTCTATATGTTGCATGCTGAAAACCGATGGTGGCTAATACCTTCGATTTGAATTTTCCCAATCCATGATTGTCTTTCAAAATAACCGAGTCCTGGAGTCGCTACCTAGTACCTAAATACCTAGAGACTATAGAGATGAAATTTGAGCCTTGGGAAAACTTCGAATAACGTCCAATTATCAATGTATGCGGTCGTGATGTTCTCCCATAGTTTCTGTCCCTTCATTCTTCATAAGAGTAGATGTATGTAGACATTACCGCTCACACAAAAGTCCTTTCGTGCAAGTGCTTTTGCATATGGAAGCGTTTCTCGTCTGCCGGGGAAAATCAAAATCTGATAGTTATGAAATCACGCCTATACTATTAGTATTTTTGTTCATACAGTATTTCTTCCAGCCATTCTGTATAGAGCAGCAAAGTATGGGATTTTTTATTGGTATGGAGTACGGACGACTCGGTTGCATGGTTTCCGACCACACACAAAAAACAACCACGCGACATTATAAATTTGAAATGACTATACACACGAATTCAGGTATCGCTTTTTATTTTATTTTTTTCACATACATACGAATTCAAATATATTATTCAAGCTAAGACTGTCTAAGATTATTAAATTTGAATCCGTCTAAACTAAAATACTTAAATCTGAATCAATAAAGTAGAACAATTTTCCAACTAGTTGTGGCAGGAACTGTTACTTTTAAAAGATTGTCGACTTCTTCTCTAAATTCAAATTCCTCTTCGTCTTTGGAGTTCACTGAGCAAGCTTTGGGCTTTAAACTAGAGTAAGCTCCAAAGCTACCTCCTCCTCTTCCCTTAATGTGTATTTCACTGCTAGAGTTATGACTAAAGCACTCAACTGCTTCAACAGCTCCCCCGGAATTGTACATGTTCAATAATCCAATCGCTGCAAATTCAACGTTTTGCTTGTAAACCTGGGGAAGTAGAAATCACGCACAAATTTATAATTGTTTTAACACTAATCAGTGTACTGTTTTACTATACGTACATTACATACTTTTAATCCCAATTCTCAAGAGACACATTCAGAAGCCAACCTTAATAGGAGATACAGTAAAGACATCGCATTGGAGAACTCTTAATGCAACGTCAAATGACTTGTCCTTTGGTAACCGAGACAGACGCCCTGAAATTGTATGAAAAATATGTCAAAATACGTTGAATTTAACATTGGGCGCCGGCGAGATGAATTAACTGGTGTTTTGGTGTGGCAAAAGGCAAGACGTATAATCCTACCTTTTGCGAAGGAATAGACCGCACAATCTCCTGTCCACAGCTTGCCAGAAACCTCGTCGAAATACTCAATATCTGCAGGGGTCACCTTCCCAGACACTTCGGCACTAACTTCTACGGGAACAACTTGTTCTAGACAAGGCCAGTTCCCTGCTCCTTGGCAATTGAAAATGCCTAAAACTCCATTGTATTTGTTCAAATTCCATATCTTTAGAAGGCTACATATAACATCACCAATCAGAGAAGAGAAGATTTGTTACTTGTTAGAAAAATAATATCATATATTATATTGAACAACCTAACAAGGTAATTGGGAGGGACATCACATACCTCTTCCCATCTGTAACGGGGTCAACAAATAAACAATCCCGTGATGGCCTCCCGGGGAATCTAGCTCGCAGAATTGATCCATCAGGAAGTACAAGCCTTTTAAGTATCTCGAAATCATGATGGCCGGGTTTGTCACTGTTGTCAATAGTGGCGTGTTGTGAAGTTAGTCACAGCTACACCATTTTTGAGAAATGATTAAGCATCATGATCCGTCAATCTAAACCCCGGCGGAACTGGTACTTTTAAATACATGCATCTGCATGTGAAGTGCATGCATTCTAACATACAAAGCACAGAGGCCGATAATTCTGAAATGCATTAAATTTTACATTTTCCAGTGAAATCTTACATGTACAAAGTAGAGAAGCTGATAATTGTGGATGACATTCATAATGCCATACAAAAGACACTCCAAATAAAAGAATTGGAATTACTCCAAATAAACTCCTATGCAGTAAATTAGTGAGACCTTCATAATGCCATACAAAAAAAAAAAAAAAAAAAAAAAAAGTTAAAAGACGACATTCTAAGATAATCACTTCATTTGGACACGGTTAAGACTGAGAACAGTAAAAGAAAATGATAAAGATTCAAGCAATGGACTGTCAATTTTATGCCTTCATTAGCTCATGTAATTGTTATTTCACTGTTACTTACCTAACATAGACTCCGCATCCTCCCACAGCTCTAGCAGCAGCATGGAACTCAGCTGCTTCATGACGGCTCTGAAGGTTGTAATTTAATGTATTAAATTCTGCATTTGGAAATACAGCAATAGGCTGAACTTAACAGTACGTAAGGAAGCCACAGCAATGGCATACATAGAACATGTCCCAATCTGGGAGAACAACTTCACCAAGGAATATGCTGTTGAAAGCCACAGCAGCTATGTGCAGTGTCTGTGTTGTTGGGTTTTTCGGGTAGTAATCGTCAGATGCTCGAGTAATAGCACTTCTTTTTGAACTGCAACACAAAATTGGGTGGTTACCTTACCATGGAGAAACCTTAAAGCAAAGAGACTGTTGGTCACAGTTCGCTATGGCTTTCAACAAGAATGATAAACAGGTATGTCTGTAACCTGTACTTAACCCACATAAAAGTAGACATGCCCATCAACTGATGCAATGTAGTTACATGCATCCACTGTATGATTCAAATACTGGAGTTCCTAAGTTTTTCCAAATAAAATTTGATGGGGGCATTGTAAAGCATAAGTACATACTGGTAAATGGAGTCCGTGCTTTGGCCCATGCAGCAGATGATGCTGTTGTCTTGGAAGTGGGTGGCTATGGACTTCTCCAGTGCCTGTTGGAACTGTCTGGTCAGAGATACTCGCCCTCCTAAATCAGCTGATATCGTCTCCAGTATGTTCTGAACATCAACCTTAACCCCATCCACGTTTTGTGAAACAAGATAACCGTGTAGATCATCATAAAACTGATACACCTTTGCAGGATCTATTGTACCAACACCATATTTCTCCATGCAATCCATAGCTAAGTCCCTCATATTTGCCAAATTCCCAGGTGACTGCACTGGGTATCTTAGCTCAGGATTGTACTTTTTAGTTCCAAGAGCATTTGGAAGAAGCCCTCCCCAGTATCCCAACAGGGCATGCCACACATAGACGTACCTGGGAGTTTGGGAAAAAAAAGCAAAGCATTAATGGAACATAAATGCAAAGATTCAAGAGAAAAGATCTAAGAAACATGAGGACATCACAGATTTCACTCTATTTCTCCAAGTGGTAAGTATGTTCGACAATTTCAGACAAACTACACCTCAAACCACGTTATGTCTACTTCTAAATATCAGATACATTGCCGTCACAGCCCCAAAATTGGGTCCGGTATATATCGGTTTTTAAGAAAAAAAGAGAAACTTTGAGGTCTAGAAGAAAACTCATGGTTTTGGGGAAAGATGATAGGAAACAGCTTTCCTTGAAGATTTATGCAGCTGTAAAATGGGTTCCTTGGTGATAAGACTTGACAGATAATTAATGAACAAGTCTATATACCATCAGAGACAGTTTTAAGTAATAAACCAAAGTTCCGAGTTCAATAAATTTTCTTGAAACTTGTACTAAACTCCAATTAATTTGAAAATGTACCATATAAATTAAAGCAGACACATATAACTACAGCTCATAGGGAATTATAGTAGTTGTCCAATATTGTTGCTGAAATTTTCAGGCCGCTGCAGTTTTCTGGTCTGTTTATATTTCACAATATCTGCATAAACTGTGAAGGTAGTTAAAATGTGAATGGTGGAAATCTTACTTAAGACCAAAAGTCCCCTTGATTTCAGATACAAAATCCTTGAGACTACTTGGCGTCTCACTTTCACCCTCTTTATTAGTTGTCCTACGAAACTTGTTATTTTCTTGAATGCTATTTAATCTACCACCAAACCTGCAGTTAGGGGAAAATCAGTAAGCCTGATTGCGCTTTTAATTAATTAGCAAGAAAAGATTGTGGACATACTGTGATCCGTCAACAAATGGCTCCCCTTCTATTTGGAACTCATTTGATGTATCTTGCCATCCATCGTCAATTATCAAAAACTTCGCTGGAGTACCTCCCTCTGATAAACTGTGTAATATATATATATATATGTGCGTGTGTGTTTGTTTGAATGAGATTAGTGCTTAAACAAATGAGTTTTACTGGAGAAAAGATTAAGAGGCAATGTAATTGAGTAAATATGGTGGTAATCATATAAAGAATTCACAGCAACATAACAATTCTGCTGCTTAAACTTGTATGAAGCATCTTCATAATAAACTTCTTTATATGCAAGCTTTACACAGGAAAATAACAAAGTTAAATGAACTTCTAGCTCGACATGATTCTCATCAAAGTTAAATGAACTTCTTTAAATGCAAGCTTTACACAGGATCCTGACCAAATCATTATGGTCTCATAACTAAGATTATTCTAGCTATCAGTGCAATTGGTTTCTGATGACATATCAATTCCAGATCATTTTGAAGGAGACTAAATAAGCGAAGCGCTTAGATTTACCTTTTCAGGCCATCTCTGATTCCTTGAGGATTAACCCCTTGATAAAAGGCATCCCAGGTACACCAGCCAAAGCAATCTAGCATTCCAGGCATCTGAATCAGGAAACAATAACAGGATGTGTTATTGATCAATGATCATAGTTGTTGATGAAATCCAGAGATATTATAGAACTTTGGTCCTCTAGGTCTAAAACATTGGCTGACTTGCCTGTTTGGATTCTCTGAGAGAGAAAGTTCCAAAATGCTTCTCCAAAATCCTGAATATGATAACAAGTTGAAATACTTCAGTCTCACTTCAATAAATTAGTAAAGTAGAAAATGATAAATTGTGAACCCAAGAAGCAAGTTTAAAGGTCTTGTTTCTTATACTACTTACAATACAATGTGGTGATTCACTTCATATCAGAAATTATTTCACTGTAGTATAAAGGTTATGTCATTTTGCTTCTTGATCACTAAGCTAAGTACTTGCTTGAAACTCAAAAATGTGCTCAGAGAGCTAACCTACTTCATAGATTCCTTCATCAGATCGAAAGGATGGTTCCCACAATTCACAAAAACTGCTTTTGGGGATTGGGAGGTAACGATAGCTGGGTCACCTATCAGATTAGATAATAAACTTCATATCATTAGACTATCAAAAGAAGCAATACGGGTGAGAAGGTCAGAGGGAACAAACTCTTCTCTCTGTCTCTTTTCTTTTCTTTCCCCTCCTCCCCCAGTAACAAGCTTGAAAACAAATTCGTGTTGTACATTGTGCTTCATAAGCAAAAGTGCACAAGCACTAAAGCCAAGCTCAATGAAATGTGTGAAAGCAGAGAATCATCCAGTAGGCAGTATCATCATGTTATATCTTTAACAAATATTAAAACCAATTCGTGTAGAAAGAAGGGAAGAAAAAGGAAGACGGTTGATTATAAGCAAAATATTTGAATAGAGATGAATTTATGAATGATTACCACTTTCGACACAAAACTCAAGTTCATTCGATGAATTCCCCTGCAAGCTGCTTCTAAATTCACCATCTAGAACTGGCAAGAATAAGATATAATTAGGAGGAGTAGCTTCTTCGGCTGACTTTGCTTGCAGGAGCAACATCTGAGTTTCAACTGGGATGTCACTTCCTGTATTGCCCACTCTTGGTATCATCCACCAAAGTTTAAATCTAAAAAGACTTAGTAATCTGACATCCCTGCATCACCACAAAAAAGATCAACATACAACTGAAACATGGCGATTGGGGTATGAAATCAACGGTAATGAAGACTAAAATGAATACCGTACGAGTCCAAGCTTAAAAACATGGCGTGAAGAAGCAGTTTCAGAAGTGGCACCGACGAATGCGGATGAGTCGGTCAATGGTGTGACAACCACATTGTCAGGCACGTGTGTCAACACATCGTTACCATTGACACTGAGAATACCATCTTCAAAGACAGGTTTTATGCTCCATTGGGATGCGGATGCGGTGTCACTACTTCCACTAGTGCTGCTGTTAGGACGCACAGACCCCCGTCCCCATCCAAATCCCCGTCCGCGTGAGAAGATGATCCTGTTGTTGATGTTGAGTGGAAGGGCTCTGGAAGACGGAAAAAAGACGGTGGTCTGGAGCATGGCGATCAAAGCAGGTGTGTAGGTGTTTGTGACTTGTATATACTAATAGTTAGCAAGTGAACGTATATAGTATATTACTTCTACAAGCTAGCTAGTGTAACTGTACATTTGGCCGTTATATATAAGAAGCGGGAGACAATGTGGGAGGACCGAGGACTGAGGAGGAGCTTAGAAGGAGTGAGGAGGATATGATATGATATGTGATGGAAGTTGGTTCCGAGATGATTGATTGATTGATTATAATTAAGTGGAGATGGAGCTGAGGGGATGGGGATGGGAATGGGATCAGCCTCCTTAACTTCCACCACTCAGCGCTTGCTGTCCACATTTTACATTCGGGACCTGACCTCACCCCTTTGCCCGTCTGTCTTTCGCTTTCTCTTATTTTTAAATCTTGTATGGGAATTATAATATCCTCTCATCTTCCAAGACAATTCTGCCCTCAGTACTAGGAGAAAGACTTTGTACGGCCACCATGTTAATAATACAATAATATAATATTGTGTAATTTTTTATTCATGTGACATTATTATTGGTATAGAATGTCATGGTGACAATATACTCGTGTCATTGGTAAGGATCGATAGGCATTTATATCCTACCAAATCGGGTTGTTTAGTTTTTTTATGTATTTTTCAACATCAATGGTTAAACTCGTCAGGCCAGATGTTTAACCAAACAAAATGACCTCCATTAATTTATTTTTGGAGAAATTAGGTTCACATCTCTCTTTTTACTACTTCATTGATTAAAACCTAATTCCTTTTCAATTTTTTATTAAGGTCCTTAGGTTTTAATAAACGCTATTAATTATTTCAATAATAATTTTTTTTTATATTTCTAAATACATTCATTTAGTGTTAGAAACGTAACATTTAATATATTTATATTTATGGCTAAATTTTTTATCATATATTTTTATTTTTAGTTTGTACCCGTTTTTAATTTGCAACCTTTTTTTTTTAATTTGTACTAATTTTATTTTCAGCTTTAATTTGTACCCATATATGAATTTCTTTTTGTGCCCATATATTTTTAACTTTTATTTGTATTTGTACCCATACTTTAAATTTATTTGTACCCATTTTTAATTTTGCTAAATGTACCCATGCTAATTATATGTATTTAATATATTAGTAGTTATTTTTTAAAATATGTTAATAATTATGTGGGCATATTATTATTATTATTTTTTTTTGCTATAATTTTGTGAAGAACAATATTACTCTATTATTGATTTTTAAGTATTTATTATATTTTAAAAATATTATTTGAATTTAGTTAAATTTCATAATTTGAGGGACATTAAATGCATAAATACATGAGATAAATATCTTAAATAATGCTAAGGACCTCGATCAAAATATTTAAACAAACAAAGTTTTAATCTAACAATTAAGTTTATAAGGGACCGAAACCAAAATGACCCTTAATTTTTTTTCCTCTCCTTTCAAAAACTTAAGCGCATTAAATAGGTTGAATAAGAGATTTACAAGATATCAATTAATTATAAACTCATTGAAATTTTCATTAGAAATTCAAGCGCTTCACAGAAAGTGTTTCTTCAAGAAACATTTGTGCTTTCCTAAAGTGTTCTATGAGAAATAAGCAATTCTTAGTCTAATATCATATGCAGTCATAAACACTTTTGGCTGTCAAAAAGTGTTTTAAGCCCTTCTAAAGTAAACCCCAACTCAGATTGGATTGTATAAGATAAACTCGCTAAATTTAAGGCATATTAAAACAAGAAATGGAGACCAACTTCCAAATTTTATCGAAATTAATATGGAAGATAAATTAGTCACAAAGAAAACTTATATCATATAGTAAGATATCAAGACTTTATAACTCATCCGTCTAATTCCATCAACTTAAACAAAATGTGAAAGTCGGCTTTATTTTATAGTTTAACATACCTTGAATATAGTGAGTTGCCCAATTTAATCCTAGTTAAGCACCAAAAAATTGCCTAAGATTTGAATCCTAAATTAGGAGCCTCCACCAAATGCAATCGACTCAATATTACCCTTCAAGTACACGTTGTGTGCCAAATGAAATAATAACTCACTATATTCAAGGATTGTGGTAGTAAAAATAAGATTTTTGTATTTAGCTTAAACATAAAATATGAAACTTATTCCTTCTAATTTCAACAAGGGATAAGTTCATTTTATCTCTAATCCTTTTCAATCCTCTAAAAATGAGAACTCATTCACCCCTGATTTCAATTAAATGATCAAATTAATTTTTATAGTTATCCAATCCACTCCAAGCCAATAGATACGTAATGTACTTAGAATCAGCCACTGCTAGTGCTCTCGTGCACAATAATTAATGCTGCATCATTATTTAATTAAATCTTTAATTTATTCCTCGAATTGAAGAAAATCAGATACGTATAATGAAGAAAGAATATTATTCAAGTGAAAAAGAAGGAAGTTAATTTGATAAGATAGGAGGGATGGATCCCCGGGAACAAATAGCATGTGAATTCTTGACCTAGCGGCTAATTAAATGGAATTCAATCATCCCTTGCAGGCTGGGCTGTAATAAATTAGAGCTAGCAAGAAGATAAGGGGGAAGATTATAAAGCTTAAATACAACGATCTTTTAAAAGACTAGATTCCTAGGTAACTAGCTTAATTAATGTGAGAGTTCATGCTGATGATGAGCTGACTACGTACTTAATTATCATGTTAAACTAAACAGCAGCTGCTGAGGCAACTACGAATGGACTCCTGACGTAGTGCTTGCCATCCGACCAGGTAAGCCCTCCAAATACATAATCCCCCTTAGCTACTCCACCTCTCTTAGGCTTCGCCTTCAGTGTCACCCTAAAGCTCTTCTCTTCCCCAACACTTTTAAACCTCAAGACATTAGGCTCAACACTCACTGAAATTCCATTTGCTCGTTTAATACGAACTGCATAGGTACCCGGAGCACCAACATTCTTGAGTCTTCTAGTCACTGTGACTGAACCAGACAATCGAGGGACTGATATCGAAGGGTAATTGAAGTCCAGAAGACTGGCTGACTCGGGGCATTTGTAGTTAGGACCCTCAGAAAAGAGTTGAATCGTTGTCTTGTTATAGCCAATGGCACAAAGAAAGTCCAAGTAATCATTGGCAGTTAGGTCATAGATCAGGCCAGGATCCATGGCACGATTTGGTCGTATATGGCCAGAGCCATAGCTGAATGGCGTTGCCTCAACAAATGATGCATTCATCATTGGATTCACAGTGTTGTCCCTCGTTCTTGCTGTGGAAAAATATAGAAGAACAAGTTCAGACACAATTACAGTCGTGTGCAGAAAAGTTAGAAAACAAAAAAAAATCAAGTGTAATGACGATGATCACCGGTTGTCATGATTGCTGATCTAATTGCAGATGGACTCCAGTGAGGGTAGAGTGTCTTGAGAAGTCCTACGACTCCAGAAACATGAGGGCAAGACATGGAGGTGCCAGATTCCGTGTTAAACGGAACCCTGCGCTTGTCAAAGTCTTGATCTGTAGGGCTGGTTGCTTGGGTGTATGCAGCTATGATATTTACACCAGGAGCGGTGACATCAGGCTGATGAGAATTAATAGACAGTGAAATAAACCAAAGATAATCAGTTTGTCAAAGATTTTTAGCTGCGTACGTACGTGGAAGGAAAACTGTATAAATATCATTTAGTACATAAAGACTCAAGGCAAACCTTGAGGATCTCAGGAGTGATAGTGTTGGGGCCCTGAGAGGAGAATGAAGCCATGAATGGAGCAGGTTTTGTGTTCAGCTTTGCAGTTGGGGGCGTTATAAATCCAAGTGGATCGCTTTAAAATAATGTACAACAATTTAAATGAGAAAATCAACAAATAAAGCAATACATAAATTAAGATCAAGATTCCAAAGAGAGAGAGATACTCTGTAGAATTGATGTAGTTAAAGACAGCAATCCCATCTGTGTAATTGATTTGGGATGCTGGTAGTACGTGAGGATCAGCGATGAGTTCATTGCCACTGGCCTCATCATTGCAAAGAATCATCCCTACTGCTCCAGCTAGTGATGCTTGTTGACCCTTGTCTACTCTTGCACTTAGTCCCCTAAGACAGGCCAAAATCTTACCCTTCACCTTCTTTGGGTCCAATGATCCTCCTAAACAAAGCATGCTGCATGGCGCTGAACGAGTATTACAACTTATTTTAAGGTTGATGTAAATATAGGATAGCTTTTAAAAGAATTAAGGTTGATTCATTCTTACGCATCCTTAGCAGAAGCATTAGCTGCTTTAGCTTGTGCACCGGTTATAAGTGGATAAAATATGTCATCTGGTAAAGGCTTTGAAAGGCTCGTTCCCTGGTACATAATACAAACTAATTAATCATGTGCACATCGACCATGAATAAAAATTTGATATCACTCTTTAGGCGCGTTTCTCGCTGTCTAGAAATATTGAAATTGATCAATAGAGATAAGTGAGTTGATGGATGGTGCATTCTTAGTACGTACCTTGAGACGCATCCCATTTCGGAGTTCAATCATAGTTTCAAACTCTCGATCCAAAGTACTTGCTCCCACGGTTATCATCCAAGGTGCAACATTTGAGACAGTTCCAGCAGCAGGACCAGAGTTTCCTGCAGAGCATACAACAACGATACCATTCTTGACAGCATGGAAGGCACCAATGGAAACGCCATCTCTAAAGTAATCGGAAGGGTCTCCACCAAGCGAGATTGAAAGCACATCAACCCCATCATGTATTGCTGCATCAAAGGCCGCCATGATATCTGCATCAAAGCATTCACTGCCATTGATGGGTGGCCAGCAAACTTTGTAAGCAGCAACACGGGCTTTTGGAGAGCCACCTTTGGCAGTTCCATTCCCCAGACCAAACACATTGGCTCCAGGAACAAAGTTGCCACCTGCAGTGGATAAAGTGTGAGAACCATGACCTTCATGGTCTCGCGCACTGTTTAAGGAGGACTTGACTGGTACCCCTGCATATGCAGCATATCCTTTGTTGAAGTACCTTGTGCCTATAAGCTTCCTGCAGTGGTATCCATGTATATGAAAATATGATCCATAGTGCCGGGACTAATTAATCACCAAATCCAATAATCAAAAAGAAAATTTGCCAAAGACTTAACTATCAGTAGTAAAATTAATCTGTCTGCATTGTGTCATATCATATGAATGGTTGACTGGTTAGCACTTTAGGCTATGAGACCCAGCCAGCCACCAAAGAAAGAAAAGAAAAGCAACTTAAGGAAGGAAACCTGTTGCAAACAAATCCGGTAGTGTGATTCTGGCAGATTCCTTTCCACTTTGAT